TCATCAGCATAGCAGTGATATGAAAAGCCATGTTTCTGAATTACAGAATCTAGTGATGCCATGTAGACAGAGAAGAGAAGTGGGCCAAGAACTGAGCCCTGAGGCACCCCAGTAGTTAGATGTTGCGACTTGGACACCTCACCTCTCCAAGATACCTTGAAGTACCTATCTGAGAGATAAGATTCAAATCACTGGAGTGCGGTTCCTGAGATGCCCTTTGCCAATAGGTTTGACAGGAGGATCTGGTGGTTAACTGTGTCAAAAGCAGCGGGCAGATCCAGCAATATAAGTATTGAAGATTTGGAATCCACTCTTGCCAGCCTTAGGGCTTCAACAACTGAGAGCAATGCAGTCTCGGTTGAATGTCCACTTGTGAAACCAGACTGGCTGCTGTCTAGGAGGTTGTTCTGTGTGAGAAAGGCAGAGAAATGGTTGAACACAGCTCGTTCAAGTGTTTTTGCAATGAAAGGAAGAAGGGAAACCGGTCTGTAGTTCTCGAAAAGAGATGGGTTAAGGGTGGGTTTCTTAAGTAGTGGGGATATACGAGCCTGTCTAAATGCTGAGGGAAAAACACCAGTGTGAAGGGATGTGTTAATGATGTGAGTGAGTGCAGGTACAACTGCGGGAGAAATGGTTTGAAGGAGATGAGATGGAATACGATCAAGCGGACAAGTAGTAGGATGATTAGAAAGGATGAGTTTGGAGACTTCTGCCTCAGAGAGTGAAGAGAGGGATGTGAACAAGTGTATGTTTGCTGGTAAGATTTGCTTGACAGATTGTGGTGTGGAAAATTGTGCGCTGATGGTTTTAATTTTATTAATGAAGAACGTGGCACAGTCGTCAGCTGTTAGAGTTGATGAAGGAGGGGGAGGAGGATGACAAAGGAGCGAGGAACATGTTTTAAAGAGAATGCGAGAGTTAGACGAATGGTTAATTTTGTTATGATAGTATGTCCTTTTAGCAGTGGAGACATTTGCAGAGAAGGAAGAGAGGTGTGACTGATACATATTAAGGTTAGTAGGATTGTTTTATTTTCGCCACACCCTTTCAGCAGCCCTGAGCTTAGAACGATGTTCGCGGAGAACATCAGATAGCCAAGGGGCAGAAGGGGTGGTACGGGCTGGCCTGGAAGACAAGGGGCAGACAGTGTCTAAACAAGACATAAGAGTGGAGCAGAAAGTATCAGTAACACTGTTAACATCAAGAGATAACTGTTCAGGGGGAGGAAGTGAAGATGAAACCATAGCAGATAGCCGGGAGGGTGAGAGTGAGCGTAGGTTACGTCGAAAAGTGACATGTGGAGGGGTATGTGTTGTGTCAGGAACCATGTTGAGGTTAAGAGTGAGGAGGAAGTGATCCAAGGTGTTCAGTGGAGTAACCAGTACATGATCAGTGGAGCAGTGTCGTGTGTAAATAAGGTCCAGTTGGTTGCCTGATTTGTGAGTAGCCGTAGTTAATACTCGCTTGAGATCAAAAGAGGCAAGCAGAGTGTGGAAGTCTGCAGCCTGAGGTTTATCTAGGTGGATGTTGAAGTCTCCAAGCATAACTAGGGGAGTACCATCCTCAGGAAAGTTGAGAGCAGCACATCTAATTCTTCCACGAATTTACCTAGTGGTCCTGGGGGTCGATAAACAACTATAAAATGGATTTTAAAAGGGTGGGTAATAGTGACTGAATGTGATTAAAAGGAGCTGTTAATACCCAGAGAAGGTAAAGGAATACATTTCCAATCATTAGAGATAAGCATACCAGTAACTCCACCTCTTCCAGTTAGACGGGGAGTGTGGGAAAATGAGAAATGATTGGAGTGCTGCAGGAGTAGCATTGTCCTCTGGTTTGATCCACGTCTCTGTCAGGGCCATGAGGTTTAGTCTTGAATGACTAGCAATAGATGTAATGAAATCTGCTTTGTTTACTGCAGACTGACAATTCCAGAGTATTAGCAGACATAGACAAGGCGCGCAGGTTATTAGGATTGCGCTGCCTATAGTGTGTGATGCGTGGTTTGCGAGTGGTAGTAATAGTAGGGATATGGAAACACATAGTAAGAGTTGGTCATGTAACTAAATGTAAATAGACACCCCGTATTTTTTATTCCATAGTAAGGGGCAATTCATACAATATATTTAAACTGAGCTACTTAACCATCTCCGAACTTTCTACCAAGACTCTGCTGTTCTTCGGCTGGTTCTTCCTGTATATGTTGATTGACAGATGTCTCGTCCAGTCAGCGGTGAGTAATCCCAAACCAATGGCGCTGTCTCAAACTATACCTACCTTTTCCGATTTGTCTGATTTGTCATTGTGTTTTCTGACTTGTTATAATGTTTTCTGAATTGTTGTTGTGTTTTCTGAATTGTTATTTAGTTTTCTAGACTTGCATTTGCGTTTGTAATTTGTTATTTTGTTTTCAGAATTGTGATTTGTTTTGCACTTCTCGGTCACCGTATGAATCAAAAGTGATACTATGTCCCTTGCCCGTTTCCCTCCCTGGTGGAGTCGATGGTCTATACACTCTTCGGTCTATACACTCGGAGGGCTTCACACGAGGGCTGCCGCGGTGTACTAACCTTTTTTATACCCTTTTGACAAAACGGAAATTTAATTCAGCTGAACACACTTTACCGTTTATCACAACAAAGGGCTAAGCAAGTGCACGACACTGACAAGGTATGCGATACAGTACGAGACCAAACGCAACTTCAGCACGTCTCAACACAGTAAACAAAACAAGCATTTCCTAGCAACAACAACTGCGCTAAACACTGAGACAAGAAATAAATACACTTTTGATCTGCTTTTAATTTCCACTGATTGACTGCTTCTCTCAAAAAGTATTTCTTTACACTGTCAAAATGGCACCAGGGTGATGCGGAGGAGACGAATTGTTGAATAAAGTTGTTATTTTTGTTTTCTTTGCGCACAAAAAGTATTTTCGTAGCATCGTAAAATTAAGGTTGAACCACTGATGTCACATGGACTGTTTTAATGATGTCCTTGCTATGTTTCTGGACCTTGATTGTGGTAGTATCCTTGCTGTCTATGGGAGCTCTCAGATTCCATCAAAAATATCTTAAATTGTGTTCCGAAGATGAACAAAGGTCTTATGGATTTGGAACGATATGAGGGTGAGTAATTAATGACAGAATTTTCATTTTTGGGTGAACTATCCCTTTAATGTAAAACAGGGATTTTAAATAATATTTCTAAACATGCAATAATGTTTCTCATTCTATTTTAATCTGTTTAAAAAGTATACCTTTCAATATTAACAGCTGATGACATGAATTAAAGAAATAAACTTTGCTAAACTAATAAAAGCAATTACCCTTTTTAATGCCATTTTTACTGATTATGCATAAAGTATTAATTCAACTTCCTAAAACCCTAGCAACCACCTATTTATGATTTTTTTGTTTTCTTACCTGGAGCCTCTGGAGAGTGGCATGAGGTTACAGAAGTAATACACCAGAGAAAGAATTAAATTACACACAGCATCTGCGTCCTACAAAGACAGAGAGAGAGAAAGGCAAAAAAAAATGTGTGTTATTTATTTTTCTTCTTGCTTTGTCACTCTCTGACTGTGGTCTGTGTTCTATAGTTATTAAATTGGAGGACCGATGGTTCAAAATATTCATAAGGATTTGACGGTGGTAATAATGACAGCAAAAAAATCAGCAGGTTAACTATATATTTTATGTTTATATATGTAATTTATGCATTTGGCAGATGCTTTTATCCACAGCAACTTACAGTGCAATGAGTGCAGAAAGATTAACCAAGCACATTTATTAAAATAAGTGTGCAAAATAGTGGATTATGTTTTATGGAAACTATGTACAGATTAATTAATCACACTAAATGAATGCACTAAGCCTTAGTTTTTGCTTATGAAATTCAAATGCTGTGTGCTGCTCTGTGCAGTAATATAAAGATACAGGCAAAGACATCTGGGTGTAACAGTGTATGTGGGTCTCTCCATGTGTGCGTGCGTGAGAGACGAGACACACAGGTCACAGATCTCCCATGATTCTCTGTGTAACAGGTCAGACAGGTGCAGATTCCAGAACCGTTTACGTGACGCTGAATTTATTTGCTTCAAGAGACATGACTAATGAACACACGCCAGCAGTCACACTACAGGTTCAGCAGGAGACAGAAGAGATTGTGAAATCGATGTTCAGCAGAGACAGACAGATGCTAATCTTACCCCGAGTTCAGTGGAGAGCATCAGTGTTTTGCCTTTGGCAGTGAGATCTTTATAGAGTGCTTCAATTTCTGACTGATACTGCTGCGTCCTCTCATCTGTGGTCTGAGTCTCTACTGAAAACAGCATGTTCCCCACTCTAACACACAAACAACAAAATCATTAGCATAAAACACTAAATAAGGCTCGAAACTATAATCAAGTAAAAAACTCAAAAAAAACTTGCTAAACAGCCTTTATACATTGTTTGCGCTACGAAACGTGTAAGAACTAAAACGGTACAGTTGACTACTTTATTATTTAAGTTGATACGTTTATGTAGATTAAATAAATAAATAAAAAACAATTTAGCTTCAATATTTCATTAAAGTGGATGATTTAGAGATGGAACTGCCATGAGAGGGTTTTAGCATGACGTAGCACATATTTATATTTATTGTAAAAAAAAAATATATATATATATATATTGCTGCGCTTATTTATCACAACTTAAAAGAACAAGTAATAATGTTTTGTTTCAACTTAAAGTAAATGTTCATGCTTAATTTAAAATTTTAAGTTTAGTTAACATTGTTTAATTTAGTTGGGTATTTTATGGAAGCCTGTTTCCGCCACTGAATACATTTTTTTTTTTAAAGGTAATTGCAACCTTTTTATCTCACAATTCTGACTTTTTGAGTTTACATCTCGCAATTCTGACATATAGGCTAAACTCACAATTCTAAGGGCCCTATCATACACCTAGCGCAATGCGGCGCCAGGCGCGATGTAAGTGTTTTTTGCTAGTTTCAGCCTGATGCAGTTATCATTTTCACGTCCTGCGCCACGTTGTTTAAATAGCAAATGCATTTGCGCCCATTTGTGCGCCCATGGGCGTGCTGGTCTGTAAACGAGGTGCGGTCAGGCGCGTTGCTATTTTGAGGCAACTGAAATAGACTGCGCCATTGATCAACAAAAACCTGGTCTAAAGTCTGGCGCAATATGTGCACAAAGCAAGTACACTCTGCTTATTACACACACAGGGATGCGCAGCAGCACACAAACATTTAAAAAAAATTAAAGGATTAAAATGTAAAAGATTATTATTGTGTACATAAATATAAAATGCCTACATGTCATAATGGATAGTCATTGCATGTATCAGAATTACGCGCACAAGCAGAACCACTTGCTAGAGATGCGTTCAGTTTTTCTGCTTGTAAATCCCGCCGTGTAAATAGCGAATCCGCCATGGCACGAGCGCAACTGGCTTTTAAAGGGAATGGGAGATGAGACTCATAATACACTTCATAATCGGTTCAAGTGGGTGACGCAAATGTGTTGCATTGACCAACAGTCATTACACGACCACTTTGGCCATTAAAACTCATTTGATTGATCTGTTGGTGTAATCATCAACAAAGGCTTCACGGTAGGGATGTAACGATTACCGGTTTGATGATAAATCATGATAAAATTCCCCACAGTTAGTATTAACGTTTCATCTTTTAATTATCATTAAAACCGTATTAGATTACCGCGATTTGAACAACTAGTTTCATTTTGAGTGAAAACATGGAGGAAAAGCTGGGAGGTTTTAAAAGAGTGCGAAGGGAATTATACAAATGAATATATGAATTAATTAATTATATGAATGTACCTGTCTTCAGAAACGATTCGATGGCATTTTGTTTTCGTCTTCGCTCCATGTAATACCTAAAGGAAGTGTTCTTAATCGCAATACTGCTTTGTCCACGGAGATTACGGGAAACGGCTCTAATTCTGCTTTTCCATAAGCGCCACCTGCTGTCAGCGAGTGGATTTACAGAGACTTATATTTGCATTCAGCCTGTGTGCAGTTTCTGTCTGGCCAAAAACGGACCGAATTGATGAAAAACAAGCTTATGTGGATTCTACACATTTAAACAATTCAGATCAGTTATCTAGAATTATTTATGGAGCAGATAAAATACATGTAATCATTTATTAATCAATTATCATTTTGACTTATATCTTTTCTTTATTTAAAAGCTGAAATGTGAGGTTTACCTTTTAATTAAACTATTTGAACATTTACATTAGATATTTCAACATGCTATTAAACTGTTGTCAGTCAAGTTGTCATTTAAAATCTGAACATCATTGGTAATGTTACTGTTTTAGTGAGTATGCAAACAAAAAGTCCTTTTATTTGTTGTTTTTTAAATATAAAACTTGGTGAAGTGATTTATGTGTCGGTACTTTTTGAACATCTCCAGCACATTTTAACAATACCGTAATAATACTGATAACCGTGATAATTTTGGTCACTATAATCGTGATAAGAAATTTTCATCATATTAATCATCTTCACCTCCAGAAAGCCCTTCATACAGCTGCATATGGAAGCTGTGAGAATTAAAAATATGGCCTGCTTCATCCCATAAACTGAAAATACACCAAAGAGCATGAACTGTGAAGGCATCATATTTCAGGATAGTTTAATTCTCACCGATCTCCGGTGATGGTGATGGTGAATCCGTCGTATTCTTTCCCAGGATCCTTCAGACTGGGCACTTTAGAGTTGACTGTGAAGCCGTCTCTGGTTTTACTGTTGAACTGCTTCAGATATTTAAAAAAAAAAACACACACAGAAGCACATCAGAGAAACTCTGTCTTTCTTCATGCGGTTTGTGAGAACATGCATGTTTGTAATAAATATGTCTATTAATAAACACAAATGCAAGACAGATGCCAAGCATAACTATGAGCCAGCAAATAAAAAAGATTAGCAATCACTACACACGTGTTTATCAAAGGCTCTCTCATCAGCTGTTCATATCATTACTCACAGATCTGACCTAATCCTAGATTACGCACACTCATAACTGTCATGTGTTGAGGGCGTTAGTCGTTTCTATGACTAACACTCGTTATTGTTCTCTGTGAACATATTGGATTATTATATGAATGGTGTTTACAAGAAAGGAAGATTGAAATAAAATCAATGAAAGATATACAAATTTATAATGGCATTATTTATACAGTATATACAGGGTAAAACGTTTGGAATAATTAAATTTTTTTTCTGAAAGAAGTCTCTTATCCTTATACCAAGGTTGCATTTATTTGAATAATTTACAGTAAAGTAATATTTTAAAATTAATATATATATATTTTTAAATGTAATGTATTCCGGTGATCAAAGCTGAATTTTCAGCATCATTACTCCAGTCTTCAGTGTCACATGATTCTTCAGAAATCATTCTAATTTGCTGAATTAATTCTCAAGATCATTTATTTTTATGTTGAAAATGTTTATATCAAATGTTTCGCAAAAACCATGATACGATGCCATTTAAAAGATTAAAAGATAATAATACTTTGAAAACATCAATGGCACATTACATTGAGACTGTAAAGACATTTATAATGCTACAAATGATTTCTATTTCAAATAACTGCTCTTCTTTTCAACTTGTATGAATGAATCCCAATGTAAAAATCCCAAAAAGTAATTCTATCATGGTTTCCATATAAACATTAGTATACAAGTTTACAACATTGATAATAATAGTAAATGTTTCTTGAGCCTTAAAGGGGTCATCGGACGCCCATTTTCCACAAGTTGATATGATTCTTTAGGGGCTTAATGAAAAGTCTGTAACATAATTTGGTTAAAATTTCTCAATGGTAGTGTAAAAACCCCTTTTTTACCTTGTAAAAAACTTGAGAGTTTTGTAGCTTTTTCCTTTAAATTTTAATGAGCTCTGCTCCCCCCGCGAGCCGCTCTCAGAGAGACCGTTTACTTTAGCCGCATTCATCGTGAAACTTGCTAATTAGCACATTATTAGGAAAGGCGATTTGCAAAGATTCATTACAAAACATTATACTCGCTTCTTCTGTAGATGAAACTGGATCACGAATGATTCGCGCGAACATAGACGCGTTTAGGTAGATCGGGGGCGCATTCCCTTCAAAAACAAACATAATCCACTGCGTCTTCAGCGGCTGAGATGTCGGGAGTAAACGACGACTGCTATGTTCATTATTACATCCAACAACAGAACACTTCAATCGCTTAGAAGTCATTCTTGTCTACAACTGCTCCGGCGGTGAAACAATGGCGGACTGCACGTCACTTCAAACTTCTTGTAAAAGTGCATGTAGCATCCGATGACCCCTTTAATAATTCTTGCACTAATATTAGAAAAAAAAAAAAACTGAATAATATATCTCAGACATTAAACACTGGTAAACGTTTAGGGTGAGAAGGATGCCTCTAGAGCAGTTCTTCCCTGCTGTACCGGATATCTATACTTTTCAAAGTATCATATCGAAGTTAGAAATTCAAATATTGTGACAATTTATTTTGTAGGGTGCCACAAATTTGTTAAAATTTCCAAAGGGTGCCGCGACTAAAGAAAGGTTGGGAAACACTGCTCTAGAGTCTAGACCTAGAAACATTCACTGACCTTGTCTAACCAGAAAAATTACTTCATTTCATTCAGCACACAAATTATTCAGTTAAAGATTAATAAAGATAATAATTAAATGATTAAAAAGACTGATGAACAGCTATAAAACTACAGTTTTTCATGTTTAATGCTCATGTTACCTTCATGATGGGCAGCAGATCCTCCACTTTATTCACATTTTCCAGAGCCTGCTTTACTTCCTGAAGCGCCCGCGGGTTATACGCCCTGATGGAGAAAAACACGTGCATGAAAATTATTCAAATGTATTAATAAATGGAGAATGAATAAAAGATAAACAGTATGTGAGTGAATGCATGCACGAATGAATTTATATATTATAAAAAATAAGGTGTTTGAAGAAAATAACGAATGAATAAACGAACACTTTTTATAACTGAATGGTGAAGTGTTTGACTGAATGTACAGGGTATAAAATAAAATGTACACTACTGTTTAAAAGTTTGGAAACAGTAAGATTTTTGTTATGTTTTTGAATGCTCACCTAGGCTGCATTTATTTGGTCAAGAATACAGTAAAAACAGTAATATTGTGAAATATTATTACAATGTAAAATGATTGTTTTCTATTTAAAAACATTTTTTTTAATGGAAAATTATGTTTTGGAACTAGCAAAAGAGGCGTTGGATGAGATGCGGAAGAATTGACTGAATTGACTGAAAATTGTTGAATTATTAGAAAAATAATGCCGATTCGCGTCGTGGCCGCATCACCACCTCGGGTGTGCATTATTTTTCTAATAATCCAACGGCCCGGAGTTAATTATTCCTTACTTAATTCATTTTGATATTTTTTGGAAACAAAAGTTCTCACGGACCTTTAAGTGTCAAACAAGCGCTTTTAAGCTTCTGTTTACCATATTCAATGTGATCTACAGTGGGGCAAAAAAGTATTTAGTCAGCCACCAATTGTGCAAGTTCTCCCACTTAAAAAGATGAGAGAGGCCTGTAATTTTCATCATAGGTATACCTCAACTATGAGAGACAAAGTATGTGGGATAATCGATGTTTATACTTAAATAAAAACCTCAATTACATTTTGATTCATATGGAATACTTTTACGACGTCTTTATGAACTTTTTGAAGCATCAAAGTTTTGGTGCAATGGACATTGTGATAGAGGAACAGAAATCTCTCAGGTCGCATTTAAAATATCTTTTGTGCTTCAAAGCTGGACAAAAGTCTTGTGGGTTTTGAACAACATAAGGGTGAGTACAGAAGTTTCATTTTTGGGTGAACTTTGACTCTACATATATTGTCAATTATGAAATAAAATAATTTTGAGTTGTCCCTCACTTTGAAATATCACTTAATAAATAAAATAATTATTTGCTTACAAGTCTATGGTTCAAGGTATTCTAAAATGATTTTAAAGCATAAATGTGAATCTTTTATTTTTGTTCAAGCTTATAAGAACTGATATTAATTCTTCTGTATTCTTATTCATTTTACTGCAATGTAATGCACTTCCCATTAAAACGGACTATTTACTGGGAAATAATGTTCAGTGGGATTTGATTTTATCTATCAAGAATTGTTTTGATTGGAACATTACATTAAGTAAACAGCCCACTTCAAATCTATTTTACTTCATGTTGTTTTTAAGGATTACTACTGGCAACAAAGAGATAAACACAACACCACTTGGGACACACACACACTTGATTTACCTTAAAGTTGCCAATGGCCTCCTGCAGGCTGCCGTGATGGTACAGCATCATTCCTCTGAGCTGGAGAGACTGGATGTGGTTCTGATCCAGTAACAGAGCTTTCTGGAAGCTCTCCATAGCATTCTCAAAATCACCCAACTCCCTGAACACACACACACACACACACACACACACACACACAATTGTCTGCAGAGAAACATCTGAAAAAACTGACTGTTAAAATCATCATGAGTCAGTAGCAGCTCACCTGTAAGCCTGACCCAAGCTTTTATATGCATCTATGAAGTCTGACTTCAATTTGAGAGCTTCTTTAAACACCTCTATAGCCTCCTGCATGCAGAAAACATAATTTAAGTAGACAGTTACAGTAAATATAGTCTATTGTAAAACGTGTAAAATGGTAAACCTCTTTAAACATTAAACTTTCTGCTGGTTTCAGTCCAGTTCTTACATCTAAACTACATAAGGTTATTTAAAGGGATAGTTCACCCAAAAATAAAAATGTGATGTTTATCTGCTTACCCCCAGGGCATCCAAGATGTAGGTGACTTTGTTTCTTCAGTAGAACACAAATGATGATTTTTAACTCCAGCCGTTGCAGTCTATCAGTCGTATAATGCATGGCAATGGTAACAAAATATATGAGAGTAAAAAAAAACATGCACAGACAAATCCAAATTAACCCCTGCGGCTCGTGACGACACATTGATGTCCTAAGACACGAAACGATCGGTTTGTGCCAGAAACCGAACAGTATTTATATAATATTTTACCTCTAATACACCACTATGTCCAACTGTCTTTGGGCGCGCGCACGGCATCCGGTGCGTGAGGTGTGTACACGCTCTGGCGTAGTTTACGTTAATGGGTGTGTTGATATCCAGCCGAAGAGCAATCAACCATAACTTCAGGCGAGCAGGCTCAGAAGTTGGGAATACGTGGAAAGTCACCACTCCCGAATGAGTTCGCGCGAGAGAACGTAATCTTTTAGTTTTAAGTCGGTTTGAATAATCCGGATAAGCGCAAGTAAGTACCATTTTGATTAGCTGTCGTACCTACAATGACTGTGCAAACAATGAGTGACGTATACGCGCGAGAGAGCACTTCCGCCGCTTGCGTAAACTACGCCAGAGCGCGTACACACACCTCACGCACCTTCAGCTCTAGAGACTGCTGGAAATCCTCCATGGCTGCCATATAATCCTGAAAGACAATGAGAGAAAGGAAGGTATCTGTAAATATTATAAAATATTGAGCAATTAAAACAACATCTTTCAAAAGTTTGGCGTTTTAAGAAATGTACATTCATAGTTTCATTTAGCAAGATTCATTAAATTGATTAAAAATGGCAGTAAGGATTTTTACACAAACAAAAAAAAATCTATTACACAAACAAAACAAAAAAAATCCTATTTCACATCAATGCTGTTGTTCTGAACAGTAAAGAATCCTGCAAAAATAATGTATCACCGTTTCAACAGAACAACGATTTCCAACAGTCATAATAATACATGTTTCTTGATTCTTCATGAATCATTCTAATATGCGGATTTAATGCTCATGTGACACTGAAGACAGGAGTAACGATGCTGAAACATATTAAATATATTAAAATAGAAAACAGTTGTTTTAAATTGTAATAATATTTGAACAATTTTACTGTTTTAACTGTATTTTGATCAACTAAATGCAGCCTTGGTGACAATTATAGACTTAAATCTTTGAACAGTTGTGTATATTCCTTTAATAATATGTAAAATAACAAGCCAGAATTGACTGTATACATTAAAAACCGGCACTATAAATGATTATCTTCTTGTTTATTTCTTTTATCAACGGGGTTGGATAAAAAAAAAAAATCAAGAACGGGCTATTTTTCCAATTCATAAGATGGAATATGACAGGAACAGAACACAGTCAAAAATTGAATTAGTCCAACAAAAGTTTTGCGACAAAATTACATGGTTAATTAATACTAATATCTCAAAGCAACAGCCAGTTTGCTTTGGAGGGTCAAAAAACGGTCAAGTAAAACGAACAGGGAAGTCACATTAGCAGTTAAGAAAGGTCCATTTTCAATTGTCAACAGTGTAGAGTACACAACTCACACAGAAGTTAATTTCAAACCAAGCAGCTTTCTGTTTTTAAATGCAGCAGATCTGCATGACTAGAAAATATTTATCTGCGTGGGGAGATATTTCACCCTTATGCAAAATTCCCAATCGCATGGATTCTTTTTTAAATGACTGGATTTCATCCATGAAACTTTGCAGATCAACATTACCAGTGAACGCATCTTAAATTACAACCGTTTCATAGTACAATAAACCCTTATCTCATAAGATAAAATTGGTTATTCATGATATGACCCCTACAATTAAAAACTCACTTATCTCTTTTTATATCACGCTGTAGTATTTTTTTTTTTTATGATTCATACTTTTTTCTTCAGTGGGCAAACAATACATTTCATTTACAGACAATTAATTGTTTTGTAAAAACCCCTTCCCCTAACCCACCCAAACAACGTGTCAAGCCCACTTACATGTAGACCGCTATCATAAATCCAATAAACACAAATAAACGGAATAAGCTTAAAGGGGGGATACACTCTTACAATGTGTAGCACCACAAAGACACGCTGCAGTATTTATAATGCATCAATCAAGTTACTGTTCAACTGGATAACAATAAATATCTTCACTTGTGCTAAAGCTGACAAACATGAAGTTTCTGGACTCTGTACCCAGACAGAACCAGCGCTATCTTTCCGCTCTGGACATTATCTAAAGTGATCTATAATAGATCCACACTTTTACAATCTATTCAAGTCAAAATCGAAGTGCATCCTGAGAGATAAGACGGCCGTGTCGTGTGTGCACCTCTGATATGAAGAGCAGTGTTCCTCTGTGTCTGTAGAGTCGGGCTGAAGGCTGCAGTTGTATGGCTTTAGTCAGATCAGACAAAGCTTCACTGATGCGGCCCAGAGGAGACAGAATCTGAAATCACATGCTTCATTATTACCACTCACGCCTTACGTCTTAATTAGCAGTGAAATACATTTTTTATTTTAATTTGAAGGATGTCAATCCCTTGCTCCTCACCTCGGCCCTCTGCTCGTATACTTCTGGTCTGCTGGGCTCCAGTGCAATAACTCTGCTCAACTCATACAGAGCCAAGTCTGCATTCTTTATGTCCTTCAGAGAGAGAGTTACCTTCATTTATATGTACAGCTATGACTAAAATTGTAGTGTTTGATAAAGCAACATACATAAACTGCCGTTCAAATCGTTGGAATAATTAAGATATTTTAAATGTTTTTGAAAGTCTATTATACTCGCCAAGGCTGCATTTCTTTGATTAAAAATACTGTCAAAACTGTAATATTGTGAAATATTCAAATAGACATGTTATTTTAAAATTGTAATATGTATTAAAATGTAATTTATTCCTGTGATCTAAAGCTGAATTTTCAGCAACATTACTTCAGTCACACGATCCTTCAGAAATCAGTATAATATGCTGATTTAGTGCTCAATTAATCGGTTGTTGTTTGTGCTCAATTATCAGTTCTTGCTTAATATATTTTGTGGAAACCATGGTGCTTTTTTCAGGATTGACTTGAGGAATAGAAGGTTCAATGAACAGCATTTATTTAAAGAAATCTTTTACTGTTTGCTCAATTTAATGTGTCCTTGCTGAATAAATTTTAGTGCTGTCAAACGATTAATCGCGATTAATCACATCCAAAATAAAAAAAATGTGTTTACATAATATATGTGTGTGTACTGTGTATATTTATTGTGTATATATAAATAAACACACATACAGCATATATTTTGAAAATATTTACATTCATATAAATTATATCATATATATATATTTAATATAAAACGCAACATATTTTTCTTAAATCTATACAGGCGTGTGTGTGTATTTATATATACATAATAAATATACACAGTACACACACATATATTATGTGAACGAAAAAACTTTTTTTTTTTGGTTGTGATTTATATGAAC